GGCTGTTGATTTTGAATTTCTGACAGATGTCGGGCAAAGGATCCCAGGGTCAACAGACTACAGGTGGTTCCTACACAGGCACTGGAACAAGAGCTGACCTTAACAACCACGGAAACCAGTGCAACCCCAACCATGGGGAGTACAAAGGCCATAGCTCTTCCTACCAGGTGGGTCATTACACGACTACATCGTCGATTATAGTGCGGTCAAAATTCGTCGCACAACTTGTCAAATTTTAATATCTCCCCAACTATCGAACATAGGTTCTCCAATTTTTGTACACGGTGACTTGTATTAATTTGTCTAAATAGATAAGTTTTTTTTTTAAACATCTGGTAGCTGTATTCTTGAAAATTCCTTAATAAATACAATAAACTAATTTGAAAATCCAAGTGGGTGGTTTCTACAATTTTGTTAATGTTTTCAGTTGGGGCAATATTGCTTTTAAAAGAAGTCCGTCATGTTTTCGTGTTCACTATAAAATCTATTTCTTGTAATAAGTTTTACCATTAAAAAGTGTCGTTGGTGAGCTGTGACGTAGGAATATGCGTAATAAAAATGTGTGTGAGAAGCGGGAAGTGCTGTGAACAATCTCATTTTACGTGTGACGGAGATTTTCAAGTATTTTATGTTAATTTATGAAGAAAAGTTTTTTAATCCGGCCCCAACTGTTGAGGAAAAATTATGATTTAGTTAAGGCAAATTGATCCAAACTGCTGTGCAAAGTATGGGGGCACTGATTCACCAGTTAAAAGAGATATTTGAGGATCAGTTGAGCCACATATTATTTTTGATAGCACTATAGTTTCAGAACTTCACAGTGGTCAGTGAACGAACATGTAGGCTAGGCCTACAATGTCGAGCACTCAACAACATTATAAGTTCATGTTTGTTTTTTCATACCGGGTATTCATATAATAATAATATGCGTCATGATATAAAATTATGCGAATATTAGCCTAATTATAGACATACACACTTGTACATGAATTTTTTATTTTTTTTTAATTAAGCTTGTAAGTTATCCTGTAACATATTGATATAGTGGGTCATACTCTCAGTCTCTTCTCGTCATTAGGTCGTTTGGTGGTGTTTTTTTGTGGGGGGGGGGGTTTGTGGGGGGCGGTTTGGGTTTGGGGGGGGGCTGGTGGAAGGGGGGGTGGTTGTTGTTAATTTTTTACGATGCTCACAACTGCATAAGGTCATTTGAGCGCGCAGGACACGTTAAACATTAAACTTTTCAGTTAGAAAGCAATTTTGAATTTTGCCCGGGTGGCGGCCGAAGCCCACTTTCATCGATTCTGGACCGTCAAGTAATATTAAACATGCCTAACTTGTACACGGGACCTCGGAGATTTTGGCCTTTAAATCCGAGAAAGCTAGGTATTAGATCTTACCTACCATAAGATTAGGGGTGTGGCTGAAAGACAGCAGTAAGAAGAGCCAAGGAGTAGCAGCAGAAAGGCTGCAGAATGAGTCAGTAGCCCAGAGGAGGGGGGAAAGGAGGTGAGGGGTGGGGGGCAGAAAGTAGAGACGAAAGTAAACGACAGAACATTGTTAGAGAGCAGAGAAGGAGGTAAAAAGAGAAAATGTTAGGAAAAAAAGTTTCCGTCGCTGTCCGTATTCGAACCTATTGATTCTATTGAATGAGAGGCGAACACAGTAACCTCTGGATCACGAGAGTACCCATCATTAAGTCTACACTTTTTGTCCCTTGACAATTGATAAGAGAAAAGCAGTCAAATTGCTGTCTTTTTATTATTTCTAATTAATTAATGGAGGTTTAACGTCTTTCTCTTGTGTTGACAGGGAACTGGAACAAGGTCTGATCTGAACAATCACTCCAACCAAATGAACCCAACCAACTCAGCCTATAAGGGCAAGAAGTAGGGTGCCCTGGCTGACTGAGGCATGCCTGTGCCTTCTCAGGTTGGTTCTGGAGCGAATTATAGTTGCTTAACACCTGTGCATGTGTTCCGCGCAATTTTCCGATCGGTGCAAACTTAGCGCGTTTTAACGATCATATAATTGCGCGGTAATCCATGCATATCATTTTACTCACATCAAGTAACATTCACATATATTTTCAAAAGTGTAAAAATATGAAAATTAGAATTAAAATTAACAAACGAAACTGAAGAGCTCACAAGAATGATACAATGCTAGGTATCAAAAGTGTAAAGAAATTAAAATTAAAATTAACATATCGAACTGAAGAGTTTAGCAAGATTGATCGTTAAAAAGCAGAACACATGCACTATACTCTCCGGAGTAGAAAATGTTCCGTTGCTGTCAGGTTTCCAACCCGGGACCTATTGAATGAGAGGCAAACTCCATAACCTCTAGACCACGAGGGCCCCCATATCTATCTATCTATCTATTTTTCTGTCTATCTGTCTGTCTGTCTGTCTGTCTGTCTGTCTGTCTGTCTGTCTGTCTGTCTGTCTGTGAATCCAAATTGCTTTATGTGATAATTTGTAACCAAACATAATAAGTGTTTCTTTCCTCCCTAGATAATCCTCTGAAGACCACAAAAGAACTTCTCGGCAGCCGATGCAAATCATGGAAACAAGCGTGTTTATAACTTTGCAAAAGTTTGGGGGAATAACTGTTTGGAAAAAAAATGGGAATTTGAAAGGGTGGGAGGTGGAATTAAGTTGGAAACTGTTTCTCAGTGTATCGTCTTTAATGTAGTTTGTGATCTACAGTTGGAAATCAAAAGACAAAACGCATAGAGCACATTAAATTTCTGTCTGGGCAAATGTTTCCTTGCTAACGAACTGAATTACGTCAAGACGCTATTAAAAAGAAGAGAAAAAACCAAACAAACCCCCCCCCCCCTAGCCCCCTACCCTCGCCCTCCCGCCCCCCCCCCCCAAACCAGTTTCGTCAATTCAATCTTTTAAGTGTTTAATTATCAGTATCGTTACATTAAAATTTTTGTTTGAAAATGTTGAGAATAAAACCTCGTCTGCCGAGAATACGTCTCCCTTTTAAGTTATTTAAGCTACGTACTGTGTCTGCTTTCTTTGTGTTTTTTTAAATTTCTTTGTGTCTTAATTCTTTCCATATATATATATATATATATATATATATATATATATATATATATATATATATATATATATATATAAATATATATATATATACTAGCTGGGCCCCCTTTCGATGAAAGGAATGATCGGTGCATTAACATCAACTGAAAGTCATTGGCCTACTATATTTACACTCTACTGGAATGGAGCAATAAATATTTAGAGAAAAGTGACTCCTGTCATGTGTTTCCAAGTTGCCAAACAGTCGAATTTAGCACCAAGTAAAAAAAAAACCACGAGGCTAGATCTATACGGGTCGTACACTTAAAATAGTGCTCAGTATTGCGCGACTATGCGCGATAGTATCGAACGGAAGTAGGCTACGACTTGAAATAAACAAACCTGGCGGATTTTCTAAAATTACAGAGACAGAAGCGTCGGCCTACGAAAGCGATCCGCGAAATAAAGAAATTTAGCTTTTGGCAGCAAAACTGTCTCAAAACAAAAAACGAAGAGCACCATGATCTGGAGAATATTTTAAAGAATCTTTCGACGAAAACCGCATGTCGATCGATGCAGCCATTAAAAAACCTTTTGAATAGCAAACTTGGGCCACCACAAATAGATAATGGAGATAGATAGATAGACAGATAGATAGATAGATATACGTATATATATATATAATATGTGTGTGTGTGTGTGTGTGTGTGTGTGTGTGTGTGTGTGTGTGTGTGTGTGTGTGTGTGTGTGTGTGAACATACATACATACAGTCAACCCCCCCCCCCCCCATGTATACCGCCAGCCCCACTTACCACAAGGTTTGGTTTCGCCAATGTACGAAGAGGAACGACTATATAAACATTGTATACTGACAGCAAAGATAGTGAATAACAAGATGGGCCACTCGGCCAAAAAAGTGTCCGCAGGAAGTATGCTCTTTGCTTCAGATGGCGCTGCCGTCTGTTTTGAAGCTCTCTTTAGTTTTTCCAGAAGAAGAATAGGAATAGCACCTCCTTGCGTGCGCAGATCGACTGCTGTTCATCAGCAGTTCGGGTCCGTTTAGTGCGGAGTTTTAGTTTTTTTTTTTTTTTAATGACCTCTCGCCTTTCATTCTAAAGTCAACTTAAACGAAGAAAACAATCACCCTTTCCTCCGGAAGAGGTTTTTTGTCAGCGTAACCATTTTAAAAAAGCGTTCTTCCGAAATTTATCCCAAAACTTGCTAGTTTCACTTTGATTTGTTTAAACTCAAGTAGGGTAACTCTGTTCGCAAAGAGTGCGCTTTTGTGAAGAGGGCGCCACCAAATTTTGAGGACACTTTTTTAATTGGCTCAAAGAGAGAAGTGGCCCATCTTGTTATGTACTATCATTGCTGACAGGCATAAATGACGAGAAAAAGTAAGACCTTGTGTATGAAACAAAACTGAGTATTTTTGTGAGTTGTTTTCATTTGTCTCTTTTCGCCTCACACCACCATCCGCCAACTGCCTGAGTTGTTCGGTCCTTATTTTACTAAGGCAAATTTACCCCCACCGCACCGCCAGCAAACTGACCGCGAAAGGTACAAACTGCTCATGGCCGACAACAATCACTTTTACTTTTATTAGAATAATTAGATCCAACTTTTTTTCTAAAATCTGTTTTGCGCAAACTTAAGATTTTCTGTACTTGTAGAGCACAGAATTTACATTGTAAGCCTCTGCTCAGTCTTTTAGTATACATAATAAAATACACACACACACACACACACATATATATATATATATATATATATATATATATATATATATATATATATATATATATATATATATATATATATCTATATATATATATATATATATACAGAGAGAGAGAGAGAGAGAGAGAGAGAGAGAGAGAGA